ACTGTTAATTAATTCTTTGTGAATAAGGCTCAACCTTGAATATTCTTTCTTTCTTTCTTTCCTTCTTTCCTTCCTTCCCACTGAAGGGTTTCCTGGAGCCCCTCGGTGGGCATTTCTCAGCACTCTTCTCGATTCTCATAAACTATGCAGACAGTCATAAAAAGGCGCTTCCCTCCCTCCGCCCGCAACAGCCTTTTTATTCCTACTCATTAACGGTTTAAGAGAGACTTCCTTCACCAAATGTGGGCTCGCTTGGACAAAACGAAACAGAAAAAAAAAAAAAAAAACCTGGTGTTACTGAGAATCGGGTTCCTGGAATTCAGGGATTCGGCTCTTATTTTCCCTGAATTTACAGGCTGGTTTAGTTTACTGGGTGGTTTTTAATTTAGGTTGCCAAAGTTTGAATCAGCTCCAGAATTATAAAAGACGTGAGCGTCCCAGACTTGAAACAGGGATACGAGAGAGAAAAAAAAAAGAAACTTTAAAACCCAGATCTTCCAGAAATCTTTTAAATGGAACTCCCCTACCGAAACTCTTTGGAATCGGAAGCCCAAAGTCCAGCCAGAGTGAATCGGATTTCAATGGGCAGTCGCACTGGTGTTAGAGTTGTCCCTCGGAAATCATTGCAAAGCGATTCGCTTTGGCTGAGTCCTTGGTCCACGTGTGTAGCCCAGAAATTTTGGAAGCCAAGGGACCTTTGTCAGATAATTTAGTGCTAGGTAACTGTAGCTCCAAACACGCCTTGCTTGTGAACCTGGGATTTCCGCCACCACCCTTTGGGATTTGTTTTCCACGCGAGGTCTGTTGAGACTTGCAACTTGAGTTGGCCGTGAGACGCGTTGGCTTTCACACAAATTATTTCCTAAGAAGTCGGTTGAACCAGCTCCCTTGTTAGGAGCACTCACAAGGAATAAAACACCTGTGAGAGTTTGGGGGCTTCCTCCTCTTGTGGCCAGTATCTTGGTCCCACTGAAGGAAGCGAAGAGAACCTTCACAAAAACAACGCGCAAACCTCCCCCTGCGATTTATGTCCTGAAGGGCGGCTTGGAGACTTACTTCCATATACCATCTGGCGGATTGAGAAGAGCCTTTGGATTCAGGCTATGCGTGTTTATCTGGAAGTAAAGCCTCCCTGCTTAGGAAATATGTTTAGAATAGGCAAAACTCTGCTTGAGAAGTCTTTTAAGTTCGCCA